TGAGACCAGAAACTCATCAGGAAACCATTTACTGAGCTAATAAATCAACTCAGAAGTCGGCTCATTTCTACATAAGACTGCATGGTACCGGTTTTATTGCAGCCAATGGAGTTCCACATCAGCTATGTCCATTATATATACTGTCTATGGTTCGGCCTTTTATTTAGTGTTTAATTGAAAAAAAGAGTGTCTGGAATATTCATCAATTTGTTGTGTTTGCCATGTACTTGGAAATTGCAAATTCCACTTCTAAAGTTGTCACATTGGTAGCCATTGAAAAGAAAAAATAAATGTATATATTATTTATTACACTAGCTTAAACGATAATGCTTTACCTCTTTTACTTATAAATGGTGAATCTGAAATATATGTTGAAATATTGAGGGGGGAGGTGAAATTGGAATAGAAGATCCCACTGCTCACAAAAATGTCCATACAGTCCCTTAGATTAGTTTACATTACAGTAAAGAATACATATTGGCTATTAGCCTACATAAAGTTGTCAGGCCATGTTATATCTCTGAGTGTGGTGAAGTGATTTTATGAGACTAATTTAACATATATTTTATTTTCTACTGAATGCTTCTACCATTGAAACATCAAGATTAGAAGTTATAATAGCAAAGCGTGATCTGCTAATCTAAAGCCTGAGGGTCCCACACTCTTTAAATATTGGTTTAATCACGGAGGGGACAGTCTATGATGTGTCTTCTGGGGAGGAAATGTTTTATGTTTTATAGTACTACACTGCCACTCAGTGGAAATGCAATGAAGAAACGCTGCCTGGGACTGGAAATATTCATTTCTGAAGTTACGAGTTTGGCTTTACATTTCAATTAAAAAAAACAAGCATTTTTAGTAGAACGTTTCATACAAATATATAGATGAAGCTTCACATTGTTAATATCAGATCCGAGTCGGACCCACTACAACAAAATCCGCTCCACAGTTTCATTGAACTAAAGGATACTACTGATGCCTTCAGGTACATTTCGTAGCTCCTACCTAAAGGTTTCACTATGCCACTTTGCACGGTCTTTGTAAAAACTGACCATCTCAACTACTTGTTATAGTTCTTATGTCATACAGCTACTCTATACTTTAGTCTGCACTGGCAAACTGAAACAGAGACGGGTGTTAGATGTTGATGTGTACTCAATTTAGGAATCAGCTTTTGGCTTACATGCCTTTATTCTCCTAAATGTCAAACTTGTGTGTCTAAAACACCTCCCTTGAAATGTTGTATCGCCAATTTCACAAGGTTTCGGTAGTTGGTAAATGCATAACGTTAAACATAACATTTTAGGTAACTTAGGTAACTGTAAGTAAACTTTCCATGCCGGCCTTTAAGGCAGCACCTGGCCCGCTGTAAACTGTGTAGGGGTTCTCTGGATCGCCTCCATCTACTAGGGCGGGTCTTCTCTGTGTCGCTGCTACAGGGATACCAAGATGGAAATCCAGGGGCTTTCTGATGCCCAAAACATTCACTCTCAACATGGCGCCCTACACAGAACCACTCCGTCTCTACTTCGATCGGCGACAGGGTCGATACCGCGTTTTATTTCTACCGAAAATGAAACGGAAGGACTACTGGAGTCGTCTGAGCCACAAAGTGACAACAACAACAACACCAGGCCGAGGACATCACCGTTTCACCTACTGGCGGAAAATGGCAGCGGGGCGGTTTGTTCGCCTGTCAGCAAACCGCAACCAACCGATAAAACCAGTTTACCGAGTAACAGACCGAGTGTCGGACTTCATAACGTAAACACGGATAAGGAAAATGAGCTCAACGCACTGCTTGGCTCACAAGAATTTGTTAGGGCTGCCTGGAAATACGGGGTAGAGAGCGGGGACTCTCTAATGCAAATGGCGCTGCCTCTGTTTGAAGTGGAAGAGGAACCGATGCCGCAGCGGCATTTAACGTTACCGCTCCCAGTTTTACGGCAGCAGCGTGAGGACGGCGCCTTCAAGCCGCCCTCACTGGCCAGCCACAGCGCTGCTGCGCCGGGGAACTTCAGCACAGCGAACAGGGCGGACAAAACCACCAAGGAATTATATGTTGTTTTTAACGTCGTTCAGGAGGATGGCAACGGCGAGGCAAGCAAACACCGACCGGATGTA